CCGGGCGGCGGCGGCCCTGTGTCCGGCTCCGGCTCCGGCGGGGCCCGCAAGAGCGGCGGCGGCGGCGGCGGCGGCGGCTCGGGCGGGGCGCGGCGCAACGCGTGGGGCAGCCAGTCCTACGCCGACTTGATCAGCCAGGCCATCGAGAGCAGCCCGGAGCAGCGGCTGACGCTGGCGCAGATCTACGACTGGATGGTCCGCAACGTGCCTTACTTCCGTGACAAGGGGGACAGCAACAGCTCCGCCGGGTGGAAGGTGAGCCGCGCCCGGGGGCGGGCGGTGGGTGCTGGAGGGCTCGGGCGAGCACCCAGGCCGGCCTGCGGCATTGCAGGCCCTGCGGAGCCCTGAGCCTGGCCCTGGCTTGCACCAGCACCCCGGCTCTGCCTGCAGTGCTGCGGGGGTGGCGGCGGCAGCGGCTCGCCGGCCTCCTTTCCAGGGCTGTCGACGATTGCTGGGCAAGAGGGCTCACCGGCACTCTTCCTTGGCAACTGTTGTGACAGCCCTGCCAGGTAGGCTGGCAAGGGTTGTCTCCATCTCTGCAGCAGTGCAGCTGGGGCTACACTGAGGGGCTTGCAAGCAAGGAGGGGAGAAGCAAGGTTTGGCTCCCCTCCATCCTGACTCCTAGGACGTTTAGCTTTGCCTTGCTCTGTATTCTTTCTTGCTGTGTTTGTATTCCCTCTTGTAGCCAGCAGCAGTCCCAGTAGTTCCCAGCTGGCTGCATGTAGTCTTGAAATGCCCAAGACAAATGGATGCGAGTGGGAATAGCTTCCATTTCAGGCAAGGTTTTGGTACCAATCCTGTTTGGTATTCCAAATTGTAATTTTTGTGGCCTCTTTACCAACAGCATCACTTTTTCTTTGCCCATTCTTCTGTCCCCCCTCTTTATTTTAAACATGTTAGACCTGAGGGAAAGTTTCCTGGAAAGGCCAAAGCTATCTTGGCTGCATTATGTTTTATACTTAGCATTTAAATAATAAAGGGCATAATTGTTTTAAGAGGGCAAAGACAAAGAATTTCAACAGGTGGTACTTTTTCTAATGCCTTTAGTGATGGGAAGAGAAGCATACTATTTGCAGAGTTTCTACCTGTTTTTTCAGCATTGAAGAGGAGCAAGAATTCTGCAAAGACCGAATACAAAAGGTGGCAGCATCTGAAGGTTGGCCACAGCCTGGCCACTGAGGTTTGGGGATGGCATCCTGTGCTGTGCATGCATTGGGATTGCAGGTGTTCAACCACAGTGCCAGTTCTCAGTGACAGGCTGCAAGTCTGGAATTTGTTTGTTTGTTTGTTTCATGTTTATACCACCCAGTAGTTGAGGCTCTCTGGGCAGTTAATGAAAGTTCAAAATATGCGAACAACAAAAGATTAACATAAGACAATAAAACCACAGCAATTACAACTGGAGCAACACAGATGCATAGCAGCAGTACAAAGAACAATAGTAGAGCTAACGTTAAAAAGTTGTTAAAATATTGGGGAAAATAAAGTCTTTACTTGGGGCCAAAAAGAATGCAGCGTAGGCACCAGGTGCCACCTCTTTGAGGAGCTCATTCCATAGTTGGGATGCCATAACCAAAAAGGCCCTTCTCTTGGTAGCCATCTGCCTCACTTCCTTTGGAGGGGTATCCTGGAGAAGAACACCTGAAGAGGACCTCAGGATCCCAGTATGGGATGAGGTATACCTTTAGATAACCTGCCCGTAAGCTGTTTAGGGCTTTGAATGCAATAGCAGGAGCAGAATTCTCTTCCTTAGTCTCTAGCTGGTTGCAGTGGATGTGTGATTGAAGGAGGGTGCATAAGTGCATGAATCTTCAGCACATGCCAGCTCCACGCATCTGGACATCGGCCGCAGGCCTTTCGCTTTGAAGTGAACTGTTGTGGTGTATGGCCATCTGACTGTATGCTGGGCTTGGAAGGCGCTTGGGCTCAGCTAGGTCCAGAACAGTTGAATGCGGAAGAACCATGGTGGAACTCCACCTACAGGGGGCCAGTTTCAGACCCATTAGCAGCCAAAACCTGGTTGGCACCTCCTTGTATTTAAGAGTGGCTTTCTGGTCTCAGAGTCCTGTGATTGGATGACATGTTACGGAGAAATGGATGGGTGACAGGACGAATAAACGGTTCTCTCTTATCACTGAAGTTTAGGCTAGGTGGATTTTTCTGCCCTGCATCATTTTAATACTGCTAAGTGGGGGGCAGATGGTGCAGCTGATTCCAGGAGAGCTTGTGCTGAGAAAGCACTGCAAAGGAAGTGAAGCTGCAGTGGCCAGGGGTGGTGGGGGAGGAGACCAAACTGGCTGTGTTGAGATTATCCTTTGTGCCTGATTTCTCATAGGCATGTTGGAATTTCTAGACGTTACCTATAAGTTTTTGTCCCACATTGAGCAACTGGTGGACATCCCTTGACATTTCTGTCCATCTGCTGATAATGTTGACGTCTGCAAGGTGTCTGTGCAGGAGGCTGGGATTGGCTCGTCCTTGTCTTCACCGTCTCACTGTCGTGATCACTCTGGGTTCTCTTAGATACCCGCGGCATTGCTAAATTCCAAGGGCAAAGCAGTTTGCAGGAATTCTTGCCATCAGTGGCTATTAGCAGTGCTCATTTAGAGAATTCTGCTTGTGCTGTTGCCCAAAAGTGGGGAAGAAGGACAAGACAATAGTTTTCTCCAGTACACTGCATACATTTTCTCTGGGGCTTGAAACAGCCTCTAGGTATGTTTAATGCTAGAGTTTTAATGGGCCCAGGGAGAGCCTCATTGTGTTCCATACTGTACTTTTCTGTGGATTTCTTTTGGAAAGCTGTCTGATCTAAGCAAACGTGGGTATAAGAACGGATGTGTTTGAACTGGTCTGGGGATTTCTGGTGGTCTGTGTGGGTCCTGAACAACCCTTGGCCTGTTGGGCTTCGGAGGAGGGTGATGCCACTGATTGCTACTTCATCCTGTGGTTCTTTCCCCTCCTCCTCTGGAGCTTGAACCTTCAGTTCACTTTGTTTCAGCTTTTCCAAGAATGGCCACTCCCCTCTGTAAATGTTCTCAGAGATTTCTTGGAAAGGCACGAGCCTGGTCTCGGACTCTGGGCCAGGCTGCTCTGTAAGACCAAGTGTCACTTGAAAAGTTTTCAATACTGGGCTTCAGTTCTTTGTCACCCAGCTGCGTTGATGCTCAGTATAAATAACTCCTTCATAGCATGCATTCCTGGCTCACACCACCCTTCCTTCAGAAAGGGAGCTCTGGGGAGAGAGAGAACAGGCCTGCCCTGCTCTCAGGAAGCTTTGGAAGGCTGAAAAGGCATTCAGAAAGAAGACTCTTTCTTCCAAATATGAGCCTTGTTTGTTCTAAAAATGGGAAATGCCAGTGTGGACGGGAGTTGGCTCTTTCAGTGGCTTTGGAGGAGGTGGCCCCTCCTTCCTTCTGCCGAATTTGAGTCCCAGAATAGCACCACGTGCGGGAATTGGCCACCTTTGGGAAGCTTGCACCGAAAATGGAAAAAAGTAAGGATGCCGACTTGCTGTTGCTGAGCCTGCCCATACTTTGCTTTCCTGGCTGCCTTTCCTTTTCATCTTCTGTGACCAGAGGTGGGCCGCCTGTCCAGCTCCATGGCTACCTGCCCCGTTTCCCATCCCCAGTGCTTAGGGCAGGAACTGGTAGGTTGTAGCCCTCCAGGCATCTTGAGGTATGGCTCACGTTGGCCCCAGCCAGCATAGCCAGTGGTGAGAGATGATGGGAGCTGTAGTCCAAAGCATCTGGAAGCACACCAGTTGCCCATCCCTGGTTTAGGGCAGCCTTCTTGCTGTTTTTAAATGCAGCTTGCAGGAAATGGCTGATGCGTACCGAGGGCAACATAAATGTACTTCTGATGAGCAAGGATCCGTTGGAGGAAGTCTGGCAGTGTCCTGGCCAAGCAGAGTGTGAACGTGTCAGCCTGGCTCAGCCACCTCCTCGCTGCTTCAGGCACCTCCTTGTTTGTCCATAGGGTTCACTTCAGTGGAGAGTTTGGATCACTAGGAATCAAACTAACAGAGTACTTAACTTTCTTTTATTCTTCAGTACAGCCTTGTATGATTAGGCAATTAATTGCAAGGGTTTTCCCCCCTGAGATGCAGTAGAAATGTATCTTTTGGCACTGAGGACTTGTTTGGAAATGGGGCTCACAGTGTCTGATCCTATGTCAGGCCTCTTCCATCCAAGTTCTAAGGTGCACTTAAAAGACTTATTCCCAATGCTCTATGGCTACGCCTTGCGTGGTACCACCTGCTAAGCTGGCCTGGAAAATAAAGTCAGAAAAGCACACCTTTTTTGGCTCGGCAAGGGGCAGGAAGGAGCATTTCTATGCCAGGCACAGAGGAGACCTGCTTGGTTTCAGCACTGGCTGCAGAGGGCAGCTGGAGTGCTGCATTCCGCCTCCACATGCAATTCGTGGTCACCTAAGGCTGGCAGGTTAGTGCATAGACACAAGGCTGTGTTAAACGCCAAGGAAGTACTGGAGTTGCTGTGGGTTCTCCAGCAGCACTGGTAGGGTGGCTGCTCCCCACAAAATAGGATTGTTTTAATTCAATTTTTTGCTATCATGAAAACTAAGTTTCTCTCGTAGTAGCTATATTCATATCAAGTCATCCAGGTACAAGCAGTGTTAATCCTAAATTGATCTCTAAACCAAATCAAAGCCAGATATATTGATTTACAGGTGGCTTGCCTGTGGATATGAAGAACCAGTTTGGTCATTTCTCAAAACATAATATTTGCATTCAGCATAGTGAATACAGCATTTCCTTCAGGCTGGGGCAGGGAAGAGGAGGAGAATGGTGCATGTCCCAAAGGGCGATGCCTGTTTGGTGCCAGTCTGGTATTGGTTGGGGCATTCAGCTGCTGAGGCTGAGGATGTGGACAAGGCCTTGGCCAAGTTCAACCGACCACCTGCATATTTGACCCTTTCCCCTCATGGCTTCTCACTCAAGGGAAGGAGGTGGCTAAAGCAGCAGCAGCAGTTGGTGGCGGAGGGGTCATTTGACAAGGTCAGCATCGTTTGCAGACTGCGGTGTTCCTGGACCCCGAGCTATTGCTGGAGCCTCGGGGCGACTCAGTGGCGCAGAGCACCTTCTGTCAGTTCAAGCCGATTTACCACCTGGACAGGCAGAGCTCCGCAACAGCGATCCGCCGTCTGGTAACCTCTGGCTTGGACCATTGCAATGCCCTCTACGTGGGGGTGCCTCTGAAGACGCTCCGGAAACTTCAGTTGGTTCAAATAGGGCAGCG